AAGATTCACAGCAGAGGGGCAGAGGGCAGAGGAGCAGAGAGCAGATAAGCTCTGCCACTATTTCTGGGCCTAGCCTAACCATTTTGCATTATCTGGCTCCAGACACCTGCACATGAATTTTATCCAAAGTGATCTCACATCTATACTGTGCATGGTGAAATTCTATTTTATTAATACAACTACTCCAGAGGAAATTTTAGTCTGAAATGCCACATGGCAATGTCAAAAAAGACTAAGTGTTGCCCAAGGACTAAGCTGAAATGTCAGAACGTGGCTTGCAGTAGTATTTTTTGATATTTTTCCAGCATAGGCCATCTTATCAACTAACAGCCTGGAAACATCCTCCAGTGGGGTTCACTGTGAAAGTGCTCCTAAGAAATAGCTTGTCAGTTTTCTGCTGACAGTTTCACCTTTCCCTCTGGTTCTCCCTCTTTGCTTGCATGGGAGTTTCACCTGCAGGGAAGCAGAAGTCAGAGCATAAGTGTTTAAGTATCAAATGGCTTAAAGCCAGATTTTACATGGTCTGTCTTAACAGTTTCATTATGGGTGTGTGACAGATTACTGCACTTAATAGTACAAACAGGAATCCTCATCATCTTGTTGATTTTTTCCTAATTGTATCTTGTAAATGCTCTCTGTTTTGTGTTTCTGCAGAAACAACAACTGATACAAAGTTAGGTAGCCTATATCTTTGATATGTTGCTGCAGGTACATCATTTCACTCTGGTACGTAGTGAACTAGCTGTTACTGACTCAGCACCTGTGAGAATTGCTCTTTCCAGGATGAAAATGAACATGGTCAGACACAATAATTTCTGAAGCACTCTAGAGATACCCCTTCAGAAAAATTTAATTTATTTTCATTAAGCCCTATAACACTATGATTACTGCTACATATACTGGAAGCTTCTTTTTCCACATTGGCTACACATTTTCTGACCTTGGATAAAGCTTGAGAGTTTGAGTTTATTTGTTTGTCTGCCAAGTGGTGATCTTTTTAGGACTACTAAAGTAATTTTACATTGTTCTTGTAGAAAAACAACCATGAACAAAAACTATGAACAAAACCAAGCAGAACCCAAAGTCCTTTAGCACGGTGAGCTCCAAAATGAGTTTAGTGCTGAAATAAGCTTCAGTAAGAAATGTTCTTAAATACATTAATGAGAATTGAATTGAATTTTTTAGATTGATGTTTAATGTGTTTTTCCAGCTAGTTGAGAAAGGATACTACTGAGATCGACAACAGCATTAAATGCACATCCCTAGTTAACCTAACAGCTTGCAAAAAGTGATGTACCAAAGTTCATGGGCTGCACATGGAGCAGTCTCAAGTCCTCAGTGGCATTACTAGCTTCTAATGCTAACTTTAGTAGCATTACATAGATGTCATGTTCCTGTTTTTGTATTTGACACCACTAAGACACAAATATACCAATAGGAACTGCACAGCTCCCTCACAACAAGCTTGATTATTTGACTGGGGACCAGGACAAACACTCAGACTTACTGGGAGCACACAGATAACTAGGTGTCACATGTAGGAGATCCCTACATGTCCCAAAGACATCCAACATTCTGAGCATGGCTGTGTAATGTGTCTTAGCTCCCATTCATATGCTCTGTGCTGACAGCTCAGCATTTGTAAAACAGTGTTGATGCTTTCTTTCCATCAGGCAAAATAAAGGTTAAAAAAATGATGCAGGGGTCAATAGTAATGGAAACAATAGGCAGTTGCAGCAGGCCCTGAGGTTTACCTACATGCAAACCTGAGCAGTGAGTGACACAGCTCAGATAAGTTCCTAGTTTTCTAATGCTGGGAAGAAGGAGTAATCTGATGGTAGATGGGCCAATGTGACTGAAAGTAGCAGGAGAAATATTTGAAAAGGACAGAGTAAACACGTTAGAGACAGGGTTGAATTCTAAGTGAGAGAAAAAGAGAACACAAAAGCTTTGTTTTCTGTGATGCGCTGGCAGGGAGACCACTTCAGATCTGAATAAAGAGACTGGGTCCCATATCCTGCTTGTTGCCTTTCTGTGAAAACAGGATTTGCCCACTCTTTCTGAATAAAGAGGACCACAACAAAGAAATGCCTGAGCAGAAAAGTCTATCAGTTTCATCACTTTAACAAAAATAATAAGTAGCTAAGCTTTGGTCTTTCTCAAAACTGGTGTTTTCCAGTTGCAGTTTTGCTATTAGATATTTTCATCAGAAAAATAAATGTGCAATTCTTTCATAATGAAAGTCTACAAATTGATCAAATGCCACCTTCTGGTTTTCTGCTAGTGGTTCCACTTACAGATGTCAATTTTATGGCATGCTCCTCAAATCCAGCCCAAAACAAAAGACAGTGCAGGTAGTAGAGGCAGAAACTTTGATATAGAGTTATATGATATGTTTCATTTATGCAAGAGAATCTGGATGACCATGAAAGTAGGAGATTTCCAGGTCTAATAGTGAGGAAGTGCACGGGGTGATGAAAGCGATTCAATGAAAACAAGTGAGAATTGTCAGAAGAAATAGGAAGAGGAACGTCCAAAGGAAGAGCATTTGGAATAAAAGAGGAATAGAGTAAGAGGGAAATTGGGATAGCATAGAAAATAAAGAAAAGAAATCAGCTAGGAACAGCAATTGCAAGACAGTATAAAAAGGGTAGAATATCCCCAGTCCATGATGAGGAAGGGGCAAGATAGTCAAAGAGCATTAAATGAAGAGAGAAGATACAGATTTAGTGTGTTTAATTTTGCCATTCAAATACTAATAAGATTATTTCAATTCTCAGTAGTGAAAAAAGATGTTTAATGGTATTTGGAAAGCAAAAGCAATCAAAGCAACAGTTAAATTCCAAGAGTGCCATATGTTAGTGGGAAATAAGATATAAGCACAGATTGTCACTTTCAGAGCCTGCTATTACTTGTCATCATCAGCATGACATATAGTAAAGCATATAATTTTCTTAGTCAGACTTCCCATAACAAGTGACTGAGGTTCCCTAAAGAAGGATTCTAGCTGTGCTGTTTGCCACCAAATTCATCCATTGCCATTTGTCTTATTAAATGTCATGTTCTAGGCTACAGTTTTAATTTCCCAGTGTCCTTACAAGTCTGTATGTCTAGTCAGAGGATAAAAGAAAACAGAGCTTATTGCAAACTGCCATCCTAGACATTATATCCTGACTCTACACATGCCAGTTTTCATTCAGAACAGTTAGGCATGGGAAAAAAAAAAAAAAAGAAAAAAAACACAGGAGATTTCATCTGTATTCAAAATAGATGTTTGTCGTTTGTATAATTACGCCAGAAGATCCCAGCCAGGTAGCACACTYGTGGAGATCTAAGAAAGCCAAGACTTAGTTCAGCCTTGCATGTGACTCCACACAGCTGGAAAGAACATCTTAATGCTCCAGCTCCTGCTTTGTTTCAAGATAACTTGTGTATTCTATATAAAATGAATATTCACATATCAGCAACTTTTTCAGAAGGATAATTTAGAAGTTCATTTCCTTTTTTTTTTTTCAATTTTTCTGCATGCAAGACTCCAGTTAAGGGTAAGAACCTGGGAATTGCCTCTGTAACAGCTTTCATTGTGCTGTTGCAGTGTTACTATACTGATTCTTTCCCAACAAGAGAGCTAAAAATGAGTATACATAGAAGATGGTTTAAGATTTCAGTGCTTTAAAACAAACTAACACTTGTTAATGCTTGTTTGCAAAGTTCTAGCTGGAGGTCACTGCAAGAGATGTTGGTTTTTTCTACAGAGGTCCCCTTCTGATTGCTCACAATGAAATCAGGAGTCCAGCCAGACTATGCACTTCTGAATGATTAATGAGGTATTTTTTGTTTTGACTCAAGACTGTTTGGCTCAATCATCTTTTAATATGTCATTACTATTGAATCATTCCCTTTGCAGGCACCATCAGAACAAATATTGCAGGAGGGAATCTGGTGGAACAAGAATTTGGCAATTTCATCTCATCTGGGAAATGTWTCTATACTTCACGACAGTAGAAATATGGAGATCAAATATAGTGCATCATTCCTCTGAGCATGCAACATCATCAAGGCTTGCAACATCATCAAAGCTTTTATGTATCATACTCTTGACTTCTTTTTTATGTGCCTTCAGCACTCTTACTCATTCTGCTTGAACATTTGTCTGCACTCATTTTTTTATGCCTCAACCCTCCATTTATCCACGTAGCTTCTTATTTT